TGCGTTTGGCTTGAATCTGACTCCATTCACCTAAGAATAACTCTGTATAGTTAACAATATGCAGCCCAACAGCAGAGGGGGCAGTATAACATGAAAATTACAGGGTGAAACATGAAGGAAATCAACAAGTATACAGAGAACTATACTTGGACTAGCTGTAAATCAGAGGCTGCACTCAACTCCTGCCTTGAAAGACAAACATCTACCATGATCATCTGACAAGCCACAAGCACTTCCATCCATATTAAAAATTTTCTATAATGTTTTACTCCACAATTTCCCTGTTCCATTTCATGCCCTCCTCTACTATTGGGGCTAACATTGTGGGGGATATGAGGGCCTCTGTGCATTAATTCTTATATGTAGACAGAACTATTGAAGATAGGAGGAACCCATCAGTATGACTATTGTAATGCTTAATTGTTGAAACATAAATGTGCTAGACACAGCCATAAGGTATGGGGTAAACTTTGCCTGTACTGAATAGAACAACAAAATTAAAGTCAATTTTCATCAATAGCATTTCCTTCAAAAATTAATAAGAGAGTTGAGCAAAATGTAAATAATACTTTGGTATATATCTACAAAATGACCACACTAAAATAAGGAAATTATAATGACTGTCGTAAAAAGAGGGAAAACCTACACCCACTGATACATGAAGTAAGCTTTACAAGCAAGTAATAAGGTCAGAAATGACAGTCATAAAAAGAGGGAAAAACTACACCCAATGATACATGAAATAAGCTGTGCAGTGTAATGAAGAAAACAGGTTGCAAAAAATGCCACACTGAGACTAAGTCCATAGTGATTGGGTGGGTATCTAGAGATGGAAGTAGGGCAATACAGTGATCAGGTAGGGGTTTAGGGGTGAAGCTCCGAAATTAGGAAAAAATTAAGAGCAGATTTCATGAAAGGTCATAGTCTCCAAAATTTGTCTATTACAGTAAATAAGTCTTTGACTCCGAGATTTAGTCTATGCCTACTTGCAAAAATGTCCTTAACAACTCATTTTTATCTATGATTAGGTTAAATTTAAACACACTAACAACGGGTGTCCTCCATATGAGACGCCCGAAAAAATAAACACTGCCGGATGTCCCGCCAGTGTGACGCTGTATTGGGGCTCACGCTCTGATGCAACAGTGGGCCGCGGCTGGTTAGCGGGCAGAGTCTGGGGCAGTCCCGCCCGCCGATTTTGTAGCCACCCGGTATCTTTTATTTTTCGCTTCAAAATATACCGTCCTTAAATTGTTCTTATGAGACACCAACAACACTGCAATATTTCTGCTGCTGAAGATAATGGTAATTCTTTATAGTATGGATGCACTCACCACAGACTGTCCCTAACTCAACATCACAAAATTTATTTATCAATCTGAGTTGCTATGACTGAGTATGCCCTTTGGGTATATTGCGTATTTTATATCTATTCTGTGTTTACGTGGTACCCTCTACATTTGCTGTCACTGCCTCAGCTGAGA